TGAACGAGCACGAGACCATTGAGCTTGCCCAGCCCGTCCTTGCCCAGAACCGCAAGCAACTGTTGCAAAAGTGGCTCAGCGAGAACAAGCTCGAGTGCTCTGAGCGGCTCGGTGACATGGTTCGGCCCCACGACATCAACATGGCGCTTGCCATCTATCTGAAGGCCAACGCTCCCCACAAGGTCGTTGCTGGATTTGCCGAGACTGGCCAGTTTGAGAAGATTCTTCCCTACTGCAGCCAAGCCAACTACCAGCCTGACTTCATTCAGCTGCTCCAGCATATCGTCCGTGTCAATGCTGAGAAGGGTGCTGAGTTTGCCACAACGCTTGCCAATCACGAAGGCGGCCCGCTGGTCGACTTTGAGAAGGTGGTTGACATCTTCCAGTCTCAGGGAATGATCCAGCAAGCAACTGCCTTCCTGCTTGACGCTTTGAAGGATAATAAGCCCGAGCATGCTCACCTTCAGACTCGCCTGTTGGAGATGAACCTCGTCAACGCCCCCCAGGTTGCTGACGCGATTCTTGGCAACGACATGTTCTCCCACTTCGACAAGGCGCACATTGCGAACCTCTGCGAGCAAGCAGGTCTTTTGCAGAAGGCCCTGGAGCTTTACGAGGATCCTGCGTCCATCAAGCGGGTTATTGTCAACATCCCTGGAATGCCCAACTACAACCCCGAGTGGTTGATCGAGTATTTCAAGGCGCTGTCTGTTGAGCAGTCGCTCGACTGCCTGGATGCTATGATGAAGCACAACATTCGCCAGAACCTTCAGACTGTCGTTCAGATCGCGACCAAGTACGCGGAGCTCCTCGGCGCGCAGCAATTGATTGACCTCTTTGAGAAGTACAAGACCGCTGAAGGTCTCTACTACTTCCTTGCCAGTGTCGTCAATGTCACCGAGGACCCTGAAGTCGTTTTCAAGTACATCGAGGCTGCCACCAAGATGGGTCAAATCCGTGAGGTCGAGCGCATCTGCCGTGACAACAGCGTCTACAACCCCGAAAAGGTGAAGAACTTCCTTAAGGAGGCCAAGCTCAGCGAGATGCTTCCTTTGATGGTCGTCTGCGATCGCTTCAACTTCGTCCACGACCTGGTCCTCTATCTGTACCAGCACCAGCAATTCAAGTCCATCGAAATCTACGTGCAGCAGGTCAACCCGAGCAGGACTCCTGGTGTGATTGGAGGACTTCTCGACGTGGACTGCGATGAAAGCATCATCAAGAACCTCCTGAGCACTGTCAACCCCGCATCTATCCCTATCGATGAGCTGGTGCAGGAGGTTGAGACTCGCAACCGCCTTAAGCTGCTCCTGCCCTTCCTGGAGGCCACCCTGGCTGCTGGTAACCAGCAGCAGGCTGTCTACAACGCTCTCGCCAAGATCTACATTGACTCCAACAACAACCCGGAGAAGTTCCTCAAGGAGAACGATCAGTATGATACCCTCACTGTCGGAAAGTACTGCGAGAAGCGTGATCCCAACCTGGCCTATATTGCCTATCGTAAGGGCCAGAATGATCTCGAACTCGTGAACATCACCAACGAGAACCAGATGTACAAGGCTCAGGCGAGGTATCTTTTGGAGCGCGCTGATAGGGAACTCTGGATGTTTGTGCTCAGTGAGAACAACGTCCACCGCCGTTCCGTCGTTGACCAAGTCATCTCGACCGCTGTTCCTGAGTCGACTGATCCCGCCAAGGTTTCTGAGGCTGTTACGTGCTTCCTGAATGCCGACTTGCCCGGCGAGCTTATTGAGCTGCTGGAGAAGATCGTCCTGGAGCCTTCGCCTTTCAGCGACAACCAGAATCTGCAGAACTTGCTCATCTTCACTGCCGCTAAGGCTGACAAGGCCCGTGTGATGGACTACATTCACAAGCTCGATAACTTCGCCGCTGACGAGATTGCTAATGTCTGTATCGAGGTTGGCCTGCACGAGGAAGCTTTCGAGGTCTACAAGAAGATCGACAACAAGGAGGCTGCTGTCAACGTTCTTGTTGAGCACGTTGTCAGCATTGACCGTGCTCAGGCATACGCCGAGGAGGTTGATATTCCCCAGGTTTGGAGCAAGGTCGCCAAGGCTCAGCTCGATGGCCTCCGCGTCAGCGATTCCATTGACTCTTACATCAAGGCTGAGGACCCGAAGAACTACGAGGAAGTGATCGAGATTGCCGTTGCTGCTGGAAAGAACGAAGAGCTCATCAAGTACCTCCGAATGGCCCGCAAGACCCTTCGCGAGCCTGTCATTGACACTGCTCTTGCTTTCTGCTACGCCCGCCTGGATCAGCTTCCTGAGCTTGAAGAGTTCCTGCGCGCTACCAACGTTGCCAATGTTGAGGAGTCCGGTGACAAGGCGTACGCCGAGGGCTTCTTTGAGGCGGCCAAGATCTTCTACACCAGCATCTCCAACTGGGCTAAGCTTGCCACCACCCTTGTCCACCTGTCCGATTACCAGGCGGCTGTGGATTGCGCCCGCAAGGCCAACAACATCAAGGTGTGGAAGGAGGTCCACGAGGCCTGCGTCAACAAGAAGGAGTTCCGTCTTGCTCAGATCTGCGGTCTCAACCTTATTGTCGATGCCGAGCAACTCCAGGCTCTTGTCAAGCAGTACGAGGCAAACGGCTACTTCGACGAGCTTATCAGCTTGCTCGAGCAGGGTCTTGGATTGGAGCGCGCCCACATGGGAATGTTCACCGAGTTGGGTATTGCCCTCTCCAAGTATCACCCCGAGCGCCTTATGGAGCACCTCAAGCTCTTCTGGAGCAGAATGAACCTCCCCAAGATGATCCGTGCTTGCGAGGAAGCCAACTTGTGGCCTGAGCTGGTCTTCTGCTACTACCACTACGACGAGTTTGACAATGCTGCGCTCGCCGTTATGGAGCGCCCTGAGAACTCTTGGGAGCACCAGCAGTTCAAGGAGATCACCGTCAAGGTGGCCAACCTTGAAATGTATTACAAGGCCATCAACTTCTACCTGGAGCAACATCCCTCGCTGCTCACCGATCTTCTCCAGGTTTTGACTCCGCGCATCGATGTCAACCGTGTTGTCCGCATGTTCCAGAAGTCTGACAACCTGCCCCTTATCAAGCCCTTCCTCCTCAGCGTCCAGTCTCAGAACAAGCGGACCGTTAACGACGCCATCAACGATCTTCTCATTGAGGAGGAGGACTACAAGACTCTCCGTGACTCTGTGAATAACTATGACAACTACGACGCCGTGGAACTTGCCGGTCGTCTGGAGAAGCACGACCTTGTCTTCTTCCGCCAGATTGCTGCTAATATCTACCGCAAGAACAAGCGCTGGGAGAAGTCCATCAACCTTTCCAAGCAGGATAAGCTCTGGAAGGATGCGATTGAGACGGCCGCCATCTCTGGCAAGACGGAAGTCGTCGAGGAGCTTCTGCGCTACGTAAGTTTTTAGTTTTTTTTTCAAGCTCATAGAGTTACGTTGGCTTCCCTTACTGACATTTATCTCTCTAGTTCGTTGACATCGGCAACCGCGAGTGCTACGTTGGTATGCTTTATGCCTGCTATGACCTTATCAGGCCCGACCTTGTCCTGGAGCTTTCTTGGCGCAACGGTCTCAATGACTTCACCATGCCTTACATGATCAACATGCTCTGCCAGCAGACCAAGGAGCTCGCATCTCTGAAGGCCGACAACGAGGCTCGCAAGGTTAAGGAGCAGGAGAAGGAGAAGGTCGAGGACAACACGCCCATTCTTGGCAACCGGCTCATGATCACTGCCGGCCCCGGCCAGGCATCCCCGGCTCCTTACGGACAGACCAATGGTTTTGCGCCGCAGCCTACCGGATTTGGCTTCTAGAGGGCTGCCCCGGTGGTTGGAGGTACACCGTGCATCCACGATCCCTTGACGGATCGCTGGTTTCTTCCTGTTCGAAATGGCGAAGACCAGCAGGATTCTGGAGTTTCAGGCACCCCCAGGATGGGTCCTGTTCAAGTCGTTCCGCTTAGCTCTCTCATGGCGGACGGCAATTTTGCTAATATGCCACGATTTTGATGACCTGGAGGATGAAACAACCCATACAGATGAGATGTCAATGACTTTTGCGCATGTCTGTGGGATGAAAAAGGGAAACGAAAGGGAAGACGGATGGCAGGGTTTATTGCTTTTCCATGTTGGCCAGATCATTAGAACTTCGTGGTTTTGTTACAAATTTCATGTATGATATCTTATTTCACCATCAGAGCTCTTTAACTTAATCGACTTCTGATATCAACCCGTCCTCGTTCAAACGCACCACCTTCATGCGGTTCATATCCGGTACCTTCTGTGACTTTATAACCCCAGAAGAGAGATCCCAGGACCCAAAACGTTCTTTGATGTTTCCAAGCAACGAAATCTGCTCCGAGACCTCACTCAACGGCTGGGCTTGGTGTACTCAACAGGCGAAATCTATCTTGCAGACTACCCCCTTCATGGATATTATCGTCCATGATACTTGCTCGTTTGGGCAACATTTTACAATTGCCAGAGTGCCAGGCGGTTGCAGTGATGATGTTGTGTCAATACTCCATCCCAGATGACAGTTACACTGACAGCCCTTGGTGCTTATATTGCCTGTCTGCTCCGTTCTTCGACTACTCGTCAAGGCTACAAAATCGGCTGCTGACTAGTAGCTCAGATTTCCCACTAGTCAGACGGCGATTAACTGCCGTCAGTGACGGTCGGTACCATCATTTAGACCTGATAGCTTCATTCTTTGCCTCCGAGGAAGGGTAACGAGAACTCCACTCATGCAATGGCGCGGGAACTTCGGAAGAAATACCATCTCTATGCCATATAGTCTGCTCACATCAATAGTATACAACATCAAACGAACCATGCCCGGAGAATTCATGCAGCGCCACGCGTTGATGATTCATGGGTGGCTGTCATGGTTCTACAAGAGTATAACCGATCACTCGAGAGGCCAAAGGAGAGCAAATCTCCAATCACGTAAAGTTCAAGAAGAGTAAGGTAAGCCGGCATGACGCCGGTCGGTCTCTGAGGCCGCAGCTCGACTGTAGATTCAGATCAAGCTAGATTGACGAAATCGCCAATGAGAGGTATCATGGTTGCATCTACAAACTCTGGGTTTGGTGTTTTTTTTCCGAAACCAGTTCCAAAAGCAACGCCCACACACAGAAAGCCCAGTAGTTGCCGCCGAGCCCAAAACTCCCTCTAGTCCTCGAGAAGCGGTAACCTCAGATCCTTCACCATGTCGTCAAACCAAAACGCCCATCCTTTTCAGGATACAGGGGCAATTTAGCGGACGATGGCATCGAAGCGAGACTTGAACCACTTGACGGTGTCGTCGCGGCCGATGCGGTGGGTGGCACCGACTCTGCTCTTGGCGCGGCGGCGGCGGGAGACGCGCTCACCGGGGCGGGTCATGCAGCAGTAGAAGTCCATGCCGTAGATACCGATACCGGGGTCGTACTTGATGCCGAGATCGATGTGCTCGGAGATACCGAAGCCGAAGTTGCCGGTCTCGGAGAAGTTGCGCTTGCGGAGCTCGTACTCCTTGACCTTGAGGCCACGCTCGAGAATCTCCTCGGCCTTGGGGCCACGGACGGTGACGTGGACGGAGATCTTTTCGTTACGACGGATACCGAAGGTACGGACGGTGTAACGGGCCTTGCCTGGTGGGTGGGGAGAAGACGTGTCAGGTTCATTTCTTCGTGTAGATGTCGATTTCTTCGTTTCTAGAACAGTCGTCGTGTCGGCGAGAATTGGTTAAAACTTACTGTAGACGGGGGTTTGACCGGACAGCTGCTCAAGCACCTTGGCGGCACGAGTAAGTCTGTCACCAGACTCGCCAACACAGATGTTGAGGACGAGCTTCTGGATGCGGAGCTCCCGCATGGGGTTCTGGGCCTTCTGTTCGGTAGACTTCACATTTTCCGTTAGTGAGTGATCTCAAATATCACGAATTGATGGCTATCGCATACCATGGTGCCGGTGTTGTGTCGAAATCCGCCGTAAAGGAAACTTGACCGTCGCGATGCTCGGGAGATTTGCGTAGGCGGTTCACGATTTTTGTTCAGCAATTTTGAGATTGTGGGCACCAGGGATGTGGGATCCACCCCCTCACCTGCCGGACACTTGGCGAGCGGCAGGCAAGAGAACAGTGAAGGCGCGCAAGCCTAGAACTGTGAAAAAAGTCTTGGCACACATCGTTGCGCTGGTGGGCCCGTGCGTGCCTGCCTGGTGGAGCGAGCGAAAGGTGCTGTGAAACGGGACGCCTGTGGTAAGTTCTCAGCCTCGCGCCTTGGAAAACCGAAATCGACCTGATTTCATCATCCAACCACACGCGACTCTGAAGCCTCCCCGCGAAGAGCTGTTGAGAACGCGACGACGAAGTTTAAGCAACTTTGTCGAAAACCAAAAGGTTAATTTTTGTACCACTTAAACAGCTACTCTGTAGCAAACAGCCGCAAAGATGGCTTCGACCAACAAGCAAGGCAAGATGGTAAGTCATCGTTCCCCAATCCATTCTGCCGCTTGACGTATCAATGTTGACGCCAGACAACTGACAAGGTGCGACATCACAGGCCGGTTACGTACGTACTCCACGCTTTTAGTTACGATCGATCTCGAATATCAACAACGACACGAAGAACTGACGGTGTCCATTCCAACAGATCAACTACCGGATGCGTGTCACTCTTAACGATGGCCGCCAGATGACCGGACAGATGCTTGCCTTCGATAAGGTACGATACGACACCTACTTCGTTTCGATTTTGCCAACAATGCTAATATATTGGTAGCACATGAACCTCGTCCTCGCCGATGCCGAAGAGTTCCGCCGCATTAAGCGGAGACAAAACAAGCCCGCCGCCCCTGGCTCGTCTGCCCCCGCCGCCCAGACCGTCGAACAGGAGGAGAAGCGCACATTGGGTCTTACAATCATCCGTGGCGCCCATATTATCTCGCTCTCCGTCGAGTCGCCTCCCCCCGCGGACCCGAGCGCTCGTCTTGGAAAATCGACTGGTGGAGGACTTGCTTCCACGCTCCAGGCTGGTCCTGGTGTTGCTCGGCCTGCTGGGCGCGGTGCTGCCGCTCCTATCTCGCTCGCCGGACCCGCCGCTGGTGTTGGCGGCGCTGCGCCTCCCCCGCCGTTCCCCGGGTTTCCCGGTGCTGCACCCCCCGGATTCCCCGGTCGTGGTGGCCGTAAGTTATCCTTCATGGTCTTGTCAGTGCCTCAGTCGCTAACACTCTTATCAGCTCCTCCTCCCGGCTTCCCTGTCTTCCCTCCTGCGGCTGGCTTCCCCGGTGCCCCTGGCTTCCCCCCTTCGTTCCCTCCTCCGGGCGCTGGTGGCCCCGCTGGCTTCAATCCGCCCCCGCGCAGATAAGGAGGTTGACCGTTCGACTTTACCGTTAATTTACCAATCCAATCCGATGGTGTATTGTGTCCGAGACATGCTAGAACTCTCCTGCATGAAGCGGGCTTGGATGAAAGCAAATGAAGCTCTGCCCTGGTTTAAGAGGTGTGGATTTTATGCTGGCGTTTAGGGGGTTCAATGAAAACATTTGTTTAGAGCGGGATAAATACCTGCGTTTCAAGCATGAATCAGGGATATAGCATTGCAAAAACATGGCCAATATCAATACAGATTATGAACACCATATGGCCGGCACGTTCAGAACCAAACCTGTGCCTGCCCCTGTTCAGCAGGTACGTATCTCCAATCAATAAGGCTGCCCCACTCCATCACAGTGCCGAGCTGAGCAGCTGGCAGCCTCACCCATTCAGCTGAGCCCAAGAGGTGAACGGTGGTGGTCCGTGCTGAGAGCGGACGGAACCCCAACTTTCTTGATTGCAACTTTCGCCGATTTCGCGGGCCATCCAATCTCTATCAGTGACGCGCCAAAGCCGGTATACAATCCGTTTAAAACAGTCAAAATGGCCGCCTTTGTGAAAGCGATCAATGCGAAGATCAGATCTCACCCCGTTCTGAACTATGTCTGCTCAACGCGTAAGTCCCCATATCCCAGTTTACCCCAGCCAGCTACAGCGACCCGCCTGGTCTTGAGTCGTGATCCCAGACCCCCCGGCCAATCCCCGATAAGCCCGGGGTCTTTTTAAGATCAAGACCAGGGCCATAGGCATCATGGTGAAGGATGTCTAGGCAGAACATCTCCAAAGATATGGTTCCTTGCGGACGTGCTCTTTAGGAGTTCGACACTGGTATCACAGGTCTTGGAGAAAGACTGTAGCGCTGCATGACCCGCCGCAGCATGATGCTTGCTGGGTCAACCCGGTGGAAATGGGACATACCTTGCAACCAGACGTCGGACACGCTGCTGATATACCTATGTGCTCGCAGACTTCTGGGGCCCTGCCTCCAACTTTGGTATCCCCATCGCGGCTGTGATGGATACACAGAAGAGTCCTGAACTGTGCGTGTGCCCTTGTCTATCAACCAACCTCAACCTGCCTATCATGTTCTCTTACCTCCCGTCCTTGATGAGCTTCCTGTCCCAGACAACAACCTACCTAACCTACAGCCACGGCTCTTGATAAAATGCCCAGCGGGGTGTTCTTCTTCCCTCACCCACTCACTCACTCACCACGACATGATGAACCCAACCTAACATACCCCCCCTTTCTAACCTTTCATATAGGATCTCGGGCCAAATGACCTTTGCCCTCTGCATCTACTCAGCCACCTTCATGCGCTACGCGCTCGCCGTGCAACCCAAGAACTACCTCCTGTTCATGTGCCACGCCGTCAACGAGACGGCTCAGCTGACGCAGGGCTATCGCTACCTGAAGTACAACTACTGGGGCGGTAAGGAGAAGGAGGGCCTCGTGAAGGCGGTGGATGCCGGTAAGGAGAAGGCGAAGGAGCTGGAGGCCAAGGTTGAGACTAAGGTTAAGGAGGTTGTTGGCAAGTAAGGGCTGATGGAGAGCGTGAGGGCTGTTGAGATGATGGATGGGAGCTGAAGCACGGTGGCATGGCTGGTTTTGGTACCTGGCTCAGAGGGCCCAGCTGGTTGAGTAGATGGACGGACTGTAGTCGGCAGGCAGTCGATCGATGTTCTCACTCCTTTCATACTTGAGGGAGGTTATGAGGGCTGTGTCGCATCAAGGGCTTCAAGCTGCGTCGTCACTGTCGAAGGTGTGAAGGCCGCAAGGATGATGGCCAGGAAGTTGTGCTGTACCTTGCATTTGCAAAGGAAGCACGGGATCAAGTGTCAGATCTGGCATATGAAATTAGTACGGATACTATCATGTGAGACGGCGAGGAATTGAGGAGTACCAGGTACATAGGGAAACGGGTAACTTTAGGCATTTCTTTCTCCACGCGATCATCTACGGACCACTTACTTTCGATGTTTTGTCGGTTCAAGGTGGATAGTACTAGCGGAGAACATGAGGGAGGGCTTTGGAACTCCACAATGGAATGTCGTTGGACTTTGGTGTTGTCTGTTGTGGCCTGGTGTTGTCTGTTGTGGCCTGATATCGTCTGTTGTGGCCTTGTCGACGACTGGTTCTGGAAGTCATGAGGCTCATCTCATGGTCCGGTCAAGGAGCGGTGTGATGTGTAGACTGATGTTTACTTGCCGACGAAAATCCGTGTAAGTCGGCGAGCGTCATCGTGGGTTTTTGGAACCGACCTCGGCGTCGAACGTATTCGCAAACCGACGGGGGTAGGTACAATGAATGACATTGGGTTAGGGGTTCGACATTGTAGGGAAGTACCGATACATTGGGACCTATGTTTTAACCTTGCCGTGTGAAAAGGAGCTGGATTTCTAAAAACTGACAGCTACAGAAGAAATAACACCCACCGGAACATGGTCTACATGCCCTAAAACGGTCGGATTCCGTACCGGTATGTAACCGAGGAAGAAGTGCTCCCGTCGAAACCCGCTCCGGCCCCGCCCGACCACATGTGCACAACCGAAGTCCCCGCGACATTCCCGTTCCCGCCCCGTTGGGCACGCCTTACTCCATAGATTATACCAATCCACCTTCCTGAGCCGGCCAAAACCCCGGGGGTTTTTTTTTAGTGTAAGTTCAACGGGGCAAGCAAGCAAGGCAAGACAGGGCAAGACAAGACAACACAAGGGGTATGATCTGCAGGGCTGATTGGAGCCCACTGGGGAAAGTTTGACATTTTTGGAGGGGTTTGGTTCCAGTGATCGACTTGGTACGTGTACAGCTTCTTTGACAGTTGGAGTTGTGAAATTGACGTCGTTTTTGTTCGGGGTAAACTGTCTCGGGATGGAAAGGAAGGGGACCACTTCGACAACGAACTGTCTCCTTGACTGTTTCGACTGTGTAACAGCTAGGGTCTTGTGATCAAAACTACATATGTGTGATTAGTTCGTTGGTTATGATGGAATAGTAGCGATGTCTCAAGAAGCTCGAGCAGTCTAAGAACGGCATATGGTGAATGAGGCTCGTTTGCTGGTGATGTGTTGAGGATTTGTGTTGTAAAGGGTGTAGTGCACCTCTATTGTACCCTGATTTTCCGGGGTATGTCTTATCACCAGCTTACGGCTCTCAGCTGAAAATAATGAAGGTGTTAGTTCACGTAGAGCACGTGTGAAAATCAGAGTTGCCAATCACGGCAGTGTACACTGGAGAATAGACGCAACACATGTTGAAGATATGATCGCATAGTGCTGAGGAGCAAAGGCATAAGCTTGCCATTGACATTGGTGGTCTGTAGTGTAGCATTGCCGTCGGCCGAGCCAATAGGCAACCGTAAATCAAAAAAACACCCGCCAAGACTTTGAACGTCCAGTGTAAGTGAGAGTTTGGACGAAAATAGCGACTCGTCAGGTCTTCAAAACCGACCATCTGACTAGTGGCAGTGGGGTATTCGTCGCTCATCAAACCTGTCTAACCTATACACCTCTGCATGGATATAACTTGTTAGCGTGGTTTTTGGGGGTGGCAAGGAACCTTAATTTTCACACAAGAAATATCTGGCTTGTCCTGTATTTGGCTCCTGTTTCTTGTAGGATCAACGTACCAAGCTAACAAGTTATATCCATGCAGAGGTGTAGTGAGACTTCCTTTTCCCCAGACGCAACCCTGGAGATCGTCAACAGCCGAAATGTCTGTTGTTCGGACGAAAATCTGTCGTGGTTATCCTCGGTTGTTGAGACGAGCATGAGGAGATCGGTTGCGAGATCTATCAGATGATGTTTTGGGCCAGTGGTGTGGTTCGCTTCAGAGTTGGAGAAAGTGGCTTCCCTGGCTTGTGCCGGTCCAGTTCTGGTTGGATTCTCGCTTCTCCTTCTGAAAGCTGGCCTAGTCGTTGCCTGGTTCAAGGAAGACGACCCAGAGTTCGAGACTTCGAACCGAAAGTTGCCAGCCAGTTGTTACTTATGACTCAAAAGATACTGGCAGAGTCAAAAAGAAAAATCCGCGGTCGTTTTAGAGTTATACCAAACCCATTTCAGAGCCCTGGATCATCCAGCCTCCGGTGTCGCACCGCCGGGTTGCGTCTGTCAAAGCCAAAGTTGCAGGAAGCGAGCCCACGGATCCCACAGTGTCAGTAGGCGTGCGGGGGGTAAACACCCGCAAGGTTCTTGGATACCAACCCGCAGGATTTCTTTGTGCGAATAGCCTCAGAACTCACCTCCAGAGATACGAAGACTGTGAGCCGGAAGTGAAAATAACCTCGATAAAAACCCCACATGGGGTCTCCGAATTGGAAGTGCCGCGGCAGGTGGGGTTGCAAAGCAGGACGGGATAGTTGGGGTGATGGATCCATCGATACAGGACAGCAGCCGAAAGACACGAAGTACCGATACATTCAGAAAATTATAATGGAGTTTGGGGGTTTTTCGCGCTGACGATGCACGTGCTGTGAAGCCCTGTCGTGGGTGTCGCTGTCGTGACTCGTGCTTGTGCCCGGATCTGTCTTCGCGATATGCAATGGGTCTGCCGGCCTGGAACCGCCCGACAGGGAACCAATGACAAGCCCCGGATTGACCCATTCATTTCGATCCATCCCCGCTGCCGGCCGAAGAACCCCCCACTTGCCTTGGTGGCCGGCCGCCGGCTTTCTCATCACCACCCACGTCGAATTGCTTTTTGATTGATGGATGGTGAGTCTTCCCAACACGTTGAGAATCTGTCTGACTGATCATCGTTACCTGGCTACAAAAAGAGGCAACATGGGCCAGTGGGAGGAGTTTGATAACAGGTGTGATAAACGGCATTCTTCTATTCTAGTGCGGGGTTCCCTTTCGGCGCCGGGCCCTTCTCTGGCGAACATCATGGATGTTAGGCACTCAATCCTGCCGTGCCTGGTTACCAAATGTATGTATGTCAAAAAAATGTGGTTCTATGTTTCGTCAATGGTGATGTTTCACAATGCTCATCCGCGGACGTGACTGCAGCATGCCATGCATGCCTCTTCGCGGCTCAGTTCAGAGCTTTACAGAGTACAGACTACCGCTATCCCAAATCAACCTTCCGTGGTGTGATGACATGCCGTTGCAAAGCGCTGTTGCAAAGAGATAAGTGAGTTCCAAGTCACAAGCTTGAGTCACCCGACTACCCTCTTGGTTTGTGGAATTTCCTTGATAGGGATGCTTGGAAGCGGCAGACCCAAGAAAGGAACGGGCGGGCTGGGGATCTGGATGTTCGTCCTGACTCGGGGTAGAGGTACATGTACACCACCAAGGTTTCTTGTGAACCTATAGCCCCCGGCCACAACAGACAATCTTAGCAAGTGGAAGCGATCATGATGCATGGCATCGATCCGTCTGATAGTGATCCCACAAAGCGATGATGATGCGACTGGCAGGTTAACTTACAACGGGGATCCTTGCTTAAGCTGGGTACTCGCTAGGTCTACAAAACCGACCGTCTGACTAGTGGCGGGCCAAGACGAGTAGAGTTTTAACCATTTTTTTAGGTCCCGCTCCGGCTGAGGAGCTTCATGGATGGCGAGTCGGGTCTGACTCTTTCTCTCTTTTCCATGTCGCTAGACAGAAATCCCCTCACAGACCCCGTCCTCGTCCAGGCCTCTCCCTCTTCTGAAGTCCTGCCTCCATCAATTTTTGCCCTCTTTGCTTTTTTGTCTGTTCGGCAATCTGGACCGCCCTCTGCGCTTCTGTGTATACATATCAACAAACGTAGACTTCGCTTTGAGTTGCGAATAAGCTCAGTCCCGGAAACTGTCCGGCCCCCCGGTTATAGTCTGAGCAGCAAAGGTACCTACCCATCTAGATTTAATGTAAGCTTGTCTTGGTACTTGGTACCAGCCAATCCAGATTCCAGCCTAGTGGGTCTGTCTAGCCGCTGTTTGGCTGCAGCAGCACGTCGCGCCGTAACCCTGATAACCCCACCACCGGGACAGGGGACCCCGCCGACCTCGTCATTGCCTCAAGACTCAAGTACAGCTCGCTCCCCCTCCAAAATCCCTACCTCACCAGCTTTTCTCTTCTCAACAACCACGACCTTGCGTCAATTGAGTCAAGATGGCCTCCGACAACCAGTATGAGGAGGTGTTCGAGGAGGGCGATGTCCCCAAGGAGGCCCAGACCGTCCACCGCATCCGGGCCAACTCGACTATTATGCAGTTGAACAAGATTCTGGGTCAGTCGCATTCGCATTCCGTAGAGACGGGACGTGCTTGGTCTGCGGTCGCCGGCTGCTCGCAAGAGTGTCGCGATCAATTGAACCTCTGCGCGCAAAAGTCTATAAAGTTGTATCGAACAAGTTACTAACGTCGGTTCTTCATGCGAAACAGTTGCCAACCGTGGTGAAATCCGTAAGTAGTGACCTGCCACATCACATGTTCCCCGAGCGATGCGCTAACAGTTATACTCAGCCATTCGTGTATGTCCAACCGCCATGAACACTCAAACATGAGATGAAAGTCGTACTTACTTCTGATACCGCTACACAGATCTTCAGAACTGTGAGTTACCAATTTCTTCGTCGTGCATGTCCTTGTTGTGGGCATGGCTGACCGTGAAAACTGCGCAGGCTCACGAGTTGTCTCTTCACACCATTGCCGTCTTCAGGTAAGCGCTTCTTCCATACACCAAACTCCCTTCTGTTCGATCAGTTTCTAACTTTTACCAGTTATGAGGACCGTCTCTCCATGCACAGACAGAGTATGCGCGATTTTACCCTCCCCCAATATCCCTTCGTCGATCTA